TTCCGACAATAGCAAAAGTTTGTTAAGTACAAACTTGTTAAGCGTAAAATTATATATTTCTTGTAATTTCAACTTTTCCAATAGCTACCGTAGTTTTTGAGATATGCGCCTTCAAAGATAGCACGCTTAAAACCACTGCTACTCAAGGCATGCAATCTTTTTAGACGCATATCTCAAAAACTACGGTGGTTAGAAAAATTTCAAAAACTACAAAAATGTGTAAAATTTTATACTTTACATTTTTGCCCTATTTCTTGCTAGCTTCAATGACACTTGACATATGGATAACCCTAATTCCAGCCTGCGCCTCAGTCGTCTGTCCACCTTCTCAAAAGTGCCACGTGGAAAACGGATCGCCTACATGCAAAAAACATATTCCACCGACCCGGGGAATCATCGGAAAAGCAGTGTTGGATGAGAAACAATTTCAGGATAATTGAATGGTTTATTGGGGGGTTTTTGGCTATAAAATAAATCTTCACACATTTTTTTCAAAATCACAAAAATCAAATTATCTACGTTGTCCCAAGAATCCAAGAAGTCCACCTCCGCCGCCTCCTGTCTTTCCTCCGAGCAATTTTCCAGCCATTTGAAGACCCTTCGATGCCATCTCACTCGATGCTCCTTTCTTGAAGGTTTCGAAAAATGTGGAGAGCATTTTGAACGCGCTAGTTGGGTCGATGTTGAACTTTTTGGCTGAAATTTAAAATTTTGGGTTCCTGTAGTGTATTTTTTAAGTTTTGGGTTACTGTAGAACCTACCAGCTGCGTCAAAAAGTTTGGTGGCTTTTGGGACATGTTGTGTCATATCATTCTTCACTTTGTCATCCAGTTTGGTGTATTTGTCCAAAAACCCGCGGAAGAATGCTTGAGCAGCCAGATTCTCGGGTTTTAGGGACGGAACACCCATCACTTGTTTCGTCATCTGAAAAATACAATTTCCTACTGTACTTCCTTCATCCTTTTTCATTTTTCTAGCTTTACTGTAACTCGAGATACGGTAGTTTCATTGGGGTAGGCTGAACTACAGTAATACGAAATTTCTATTCATGGATATACTCATTTGAAAGCTTGCAACTAGAGAAGGTGTCTCGCTCCAAAAAAATGCTCTCAATACCGGACATAAAGAATTACTTCTCTTAAGTAGGGTTCTATATAGGTCCCTAATTAACAACTTACATCAAAAAAGAACTTTTTGCTTTTTCCACTGAGCGCATTGACATCAAGTCCATTTTCAGACGAAACTTCGAGAGCCAAGCTCAAAAAAATCAGAGAAAAAACCAATATTTTCGAAGAGGGACCCATGATTTTGAAACCAACTGAATGGAAGGGTGGGGTTGGGGATTGTTGAGGTATCTTCTTTTTCTTTTTATTAGTATTCTCTGTGTCTCTTCACTTTTTTGTACTAGTTCGCCTTGATTTTTCGCTATTTTCACTTTACACCATACTTGTAACGGGCGGGCCGGCCCGGAATTTCACAAGTATGCTTTACACCACATCAGATATTTTGTGACGGTTGAAATCAACAAAAAATAGTGTGTTAGTATTGGTGTCACTTGTTCAGTTGATATAGAGCCGGAAAAATGGCAGAAAATAAAAAAAAAGGGAGATTTTGAAATAGCGGGTATTGCGTGTGCGCTCTACCGCGCTTTCCTTGACTTTCGAACATTTTAGCTGTGACAATTTTGTTTTTTTTTTTGTGTTAAAATGCGCTGCTATTGTCAAAATTAAAAAAAAACTGACTTTGTTTGTGTCGAATTACGAGGCCCCGTCCCTAAATTTGCTACTGTATTTATTTCTGTGAACTTAATGGGAGTTTCTGAGGAAATTTTTGATTTTTCGGTATAAAAATGATCGCTAGATGCTCTAGAAGCAGTTTTTTCATCGAAAAAACTGAACTTTATTGCGGAAGTAGCCTGAATTTCGATGATTTTCCATTTTCAGAGCAAGAGTGGGAGAGAGAGTGTGCGCGAAATTGAGAGGCGCAGAGTTTAGAACGCGCGCCACAGCGAAAAATTCAGCCAAAACTCCGTTCTTTAGAGAAAAAAAAACCCTGAAAAAATAGGTTTTTCCAGATTCTGAAAAAAAGATATTTCCTAAAAATTTCTCAAAATCATTCTCAAAATCAATGACACTTGAGATATGGATAACCCTAAAAATCATTCTCAAAATCAAAGAAAACTAAAAACCCGCATTTTGGGGGGAAAACAGCAAGAAATTAATTCACATGATCACAAGGGGCAAGAACATGTTTCAAGAGTGGAAATTTGACATGTAAAGATAATTATAAAAGATCAATAATTATCCGGAAACACTCGCATCGACGGATCCTTGGACCGGATCACACGAATATCGAATCCATAGATGTTGCAAACGAGATCCGGCAGTTTTTCTGATTTTTCTGGCTTTTTTATCGGCTTTTCCGTTTCAATCACCGATAAATTCACCGCATCCGACTCATCGATTCCGGCGATTTGCATTGCTTTTAGAATTGGGTCTTCTTGGGGAGCTGGGGGATTTTGGTACTGAAAAATTAGAATTTTTGGGGTTTTGAGCTTTAAAAATTGATTTCTATCGATTTTTACCTCTTGCGGACACTGATTTATCGATTTATCGATCGATCGATTCACAGTTTGTCTTGGATACGGTGCGTATTGGTGTCTCGGCTGATAATGATGCTGAAAATGGATTTCTCGGTCATTAGGAGTTTTCTGGCCTGGAAACCTAAAATTCGGCCACCAAAACCTTACCTGTTGATTGGGATACTGTCGAACTGCAATTCGTTGAAAATTCGGCTGATTTCTGTAGACGGGCGGCCTTTGATACTGCTGATGGACGGCGACTGGCGGATTTTGGTAGTTTCGAGGTCCATAAGATGCACGTGGCATTGAGAGCAGTGTTGATGGCTGAGAAATAAGATGACGGATCATTTGGTAGGGAGGCACCTGGAAATAAAAGTTTGAAACTTACACTTTTTTTCAAATATTCGAAATTACTTGCCGACTAACTGGAATAGGTATTGGCTGTAAATTAGCCTGTAATCCAGTGCTAATCATCACTGGTTGAACTCGATTCGGCGGATTTCCATTTGTGTGGTACATCTGGAACAAAAAATTGGAAAATATTTATATTTCAGAACAAAAAAGAAGGATTTAATAGAAAATAACGAAAGATTAGCTCAAATTTTAGTTGTTTGTTACTTTTTTCGCTGTTTTGTTGGTCGGAAACTATTGAAACAGAGGGAAAAAGTCAGGAAAAAACTTTTAAAAAAACAGAAGAAATTTTTGAAATTTTCAGATTCGCGCTTTTTTGCAAAAGTTTGCAATAGGGCGCGTTTGAAAAATGACTAAAAAAATCTGAAATCAAGGAAATTTCCTCCATAAACTCTAAAAACGCAAAAAAGGCTGAGAATCTTAAACAAAAAAGTTTGCAAAAATCTAAACTCCGTTCATTTTGGGTAGATCAAAAATTATATTCTCAGCTTTTTTCATTTTTTTCGGATTTCCGAAAATTTTCCGAAAAAAATTCATTCTTTTAGAGAGTTTTGATATTTTTCACTACTTTCAAATTTTAATCACTGAATTATTCTCAGGAAAAACTTCCAAAAGAAAAACCTCTTTTGAACACCCGCCGAAAACTAGAAACGCGCCTTTGTGCTTTTGCTGTTGACACATATCGCACACCTTGGCGCACTTTCTGTGAAAGTTTATTTTTCTGCATTTTCCACATTCTTCTACTTTTATCCCTTGATTTTCACTCAATTTTCGTCATTTACTCCCAATTTTATCTTCAAAATCAGCATTTTCAACAATTAAATTTCCAGAAAATGGACTCTGCGGACCCACAACTCGCTCGATTCCTGCACCAACTGCAGGCGGAGACTCAACGTCAAAAGTTCACTGAGCAAGTGCACACGTTGACTGGCCGCTGCTGGGACGTCTGCTTCTCCGATTATCGTCCACCAAGCAAGATGGACGGAAAGACTCAGACTTGTATTCAGGTGAGAATTTGAATTTTTATGAAAAATATTCTTTTTTCATCATTAATTTCAAAATTCTGATTTTCAGAACTGTGTGAATCGCATGATCGACGCCAGCAACTTCATGGTCGAGCACTTGTCCAAAATGAACGGAGGAAGCGCTTAAATCCTGTTCTCTTTTAAACTTTTTTGTTATTTGTTTCGCCTAGGTTCTCATAAACAGGTTTTTGTTCTTAAAAATAACTTTCGAGGGGAAAAAGTAATTGGAAACTTATGTAAATATCTAATTTTCTGAAAAAAAAGCTGAAGAATATTCTGAAAAAAAAACACGTCCAGATTCTGAACTTCAGAACATGAGTAAACTGAAAGGAAGCCGTCTGGAGGCGGAGGTCGATCGGGTTAGAGCTGATGCCAACTGGAAACGCCTCTCGGAGCTTCTCCCATCAGTCAAGTCCAAGAATTCGGGCCTCGAGGACTGCTACGAGATGTTTCAGGCGGAAATTGTGTTAGAAACCTATTTGGACCAATTGGGAGAAGTTATCCGTCCCAGCAAGGATCACATGGATAAGCTGACTTCTGCCGAGCAGCTGCTTCAGAATTCACTTCGAGAGAAGTCGGCAACGAATCAGAATGTGAAAATTGAGGCAAATATTCTTCTGGCTAAGGTGCTATACGCTTGTTTAGAGTTCCGAAAAGCCCTCCAATGCATCTCAAACAGTGAAATGGAAAATGGAAAAACCCCGTTTCGCACGCTTCGAGCCCTCCGTTTAGTAGCCGAAGGATACGCTATCAAAGGATTATGCATTGAATCAATGGAAGAGGTTCCGCCAGCCACTGGAACTCGGCCACACTCGGCTAGTACCTCTTCCACCACGTCTACCGGCTCTTCAAAGGATCAAAAAGCGCTTTATGTGTTTGAAAAGTCTGCGGAGCTTGCGATTTTCTATATAAATGAGCTGGAAAAGTCGATAAATTCGAGTCAGGCGAAGACGGCGGTTAGCGGAAGTTTGACAGCGTCGACGAGCTCACAAACGACTCAGGCTGGTGTGAAACAGCAGGAGAAAATTGGTAAGGTTTCATCTGAAAATAGAGAAAAAAAAAACTAAAAAACCAATACAATTTAAGCTAAAAAGTCACAAAAATTTGGCCTGACATGGCCCAAAATGCATTGGTGGCCTAGAAATCTGGAAAACTCGGCCACTGGTTCAACTAGGTCGGATCTGGGCTTAAGTAGGCTCATTAGAAAGCTCATGGATTACTGAATTCAAATATATAAAATTTCTTAGCGAATATTTGGATTTCTAGGCCACCATTCATTTTTGACGATTCCAGCCTGTTTCTGTACAATTTTTTTTGTCAAATTGTCTCTTTTTTTTGATTTTATAAATGAAGAATTTCAGATAATTTTATAGTCAAAATATCTGAAAATTCGAGCTGAAAATCACAGATAAGAGCTTTCTGGCCTAGAAATTTGGAAAACTCGGCCACTGGTTCATTTACGTCTGATCTAGTCATAAGTGGGCATCTGAAAGCTCTTGAGTTATTGTTTTTAAATATATAAATTTCAAGGCAGGGATTTGGATTTCTAGGCCACCATTCATTTTTGACGATCTAGCCTATTTTTTTTTTTTTTTAATATTTTTTTTAATTCAATTTCTTCCTGCAAGTTGTCTCATACTCTCTTAATTTTATAAATGAAAAGTTTTAGGTAATTTGATGGCCAAAATATCTGAAAATTTGAGCTAAAAATCACTGATAAGAGCTTGGTGGCCTAGAAATTTGAAAAACTCGGCCACTGGTTCAACTAGGTCCTATCTAGTCATAATTAGGATAATTTGAAAGCTCTTGGTTTACTGATTCTAAATATATAAATTTCAAAACAGATGTTTGGATTTCTAGGCCACCAGGGTTGGATTTCTAGTCCAACATTTATTTTCGGCACTTTCAGCCTATTTTTGTACAATTTAGTGGGTTCGAAGCGTTTTCAAAATGAGAAGAAAAAATTTTCAAATTACAAATTGCATTCGACCCTTCTCCAAGTTTTAGGTGAGCTCCTCGAACGCGTCATGGAGCGTGTGGCCATCATTCGTGCCAAAGACACCGCAGCCAAGAAGCAATCTTCGGGAACTGAGGGCATCGAATGGTACCGGAAGATTATTACGTGTCTAGGAGACAAATATACTGGCGAGCGGCTGAAACAGAAACTGTCCCGGCAGTTTGCAGAGCTTTTGATTCGAGCTACAGTACCCATTGAGGAGAAATCGATGAGCGAAGCGATGCAGACGAAGGCCATGAATATGAAGTAGGTGGAAGGTGAAAATTCCGAAAAAAAATATGAGCCCAAATAAGCAAATCATGAGCTCAAAATGACGAAATTTGAGCTTGGTGGCCTAGAAAATCTGAAAACTTGGCCACTGGTTCAATTGGGTCTGATCTAGTCATAATTAGGCTCATTAGAAAGCTCTTTGCTTACTGATGATAAATATTTTAATTTCATGGCAGAGATTTGGATTTCTAGTCCACCCGAGAGGCCATCAAACCCCTTGAAATTGATCTTTTCAGATTGTACCACGGCTCTCACAAGACATTCTTCACGCCGAAATCAAAAATCGAGGAGATCATTTTGCTGCTACTGATCAACGAAGTGCTCTCGACACGAGAAGTGATTCTATCGCGGGCTGATGATTTGTCGAATTCTCGCACACTATCACTTCAAAATGCGAAATCCTCGTTCAATTTGTTGACGTTGGTAAGTTTTTTGGTGGAAAATGCAGGAAATTTGAGCTACAAATCGCAGAAATTCGTCTTAAATGCATTGGTGGCCTAGAAATTTGGAAAACTCGGCCACTTGTTCAATTTGGTCTGATCTTGGCATAAGTAGGCTCATTAGAAAGCTCTTGATTTATTGATTCTAAATATGTAAAATTCGTGGCAGAGAGATTTGGATTTCTAGGCCACACGGGCCGGATTTCTAGGTCATCACTCTATTTTTGTATAATTTCGGGCTGTTTTTGTACAATTTCCCCCCTCCAAATTGCCTCTTATTTGCTAGAATTTTCGGCAACCAAACCCTATCCCTTTTCCCTCTCTCTATAGTCAATTATTCACAATTTTTGCATATTCAATAGTAATGTAAAACCATTGTGTTACTTTTCTCTGTTTTTGGTCAATTTTTGAGCCAAATTCTGTGTTCCAGGTGCTGTCGACAATCAATCAATATCAATTATTGGCTCAGATCTACGAACGAGCGATGAAGTTTGCGAATAACGACTCGTTTTTGTGGTAATTTTTTGAAACGTAGATCACATTTTTGAGATTCTTTGGAAAATTTGAAAAAAATTTTGATTCAAAATTGTTTTAAAATTTGATTTTAGGACAGAAAACTTTCAAAAATGACTTTAAAATAGTTGCTAGCTTTGAAAATTCCATTTATCCAGTGTTTTTTAGAAATTTTCCGAAAAATGCACAAATGGCTCAGTGGGATTTTCGAAAAATCCACTACCAATCTGACGATCCGAGTTCGATTCCACTAGGTGGAAAATCTTTTTTGCTGCTTTTTTGAACCGATTTCAGACTGTTTTAGAGCTGAAATTAGCTATTTTGAGATGTTTCGAAAATTTGAGAAAAAATGCTTTTCAAAATTTTTGAAAATATGATTTTTAGCACAAAAAACACTTGAAAACTACAGTAAATATAATTGTAGCCCCTGGGAATTTTAATTTTTCAGTGTTTTTGAGCGATTTTCTGAAATATGCACGAATGGCTCAGTGGGAATTTCAAAAATTCCACTACCAATCTGACGACCCGAGTTCGATTCCACTCGGTCGCGAATCTTTTTTACTGCTTTTTTTGACCATTTTCAGACTGTTTCAGAGCTGAAATTGGACATTTTTGAGATTTTTTATTTATTGGAAATTTTGAAAATCTCAAAAAGAGTCGAATTGAGCTATGAAACAATCTGAAAATGGTTCAAAAAAGCAGCAAAAAAGTTTGCCATCAA